TGTGACAAAGCAGGTCATGACATGAGATTATATAAACATTTAGCATGTCTGTGAATATATAAAAGCAGTTTAGAAAAATGCAATGAGGTTGAACCTTCCCTAATTAGGAGCATGGATTTGTTACCTCATATAGACCAACAGGAATGCTGACATTTTTCTGTGACATCATATAATGGCTTCTCCATAGAAGAACCATGACATGGCCCATTTGGATAATGAAGTCTGGAAACGAAGGAAGGGTGTGAGGGCAACCAAGTGAGGGTGTGGATACCATGAGCAATTCTGTTGTGATCATCCCCAATAAATCCAGCAGTGACTGATCTGTGAACTTTCATAAGTTTATAGAAAGGATTTCGCAGAAACCTTCTCTCTCCTTAGATTGAACTTTTGAATAAACATTTGAAGGCTTTCGAATGACCACTAACATGTAAGTATTGCCACTTGCTGGCAGTGGTCTTCCAACCTTGTGCATCAGAGCCCTAATTGTACTTCCATTATAGACAACAAAAGCCATGGCTGTTACTCAGCCACAATTTAGCTTTTTAAAGTGTGATTATTTGAGAGGTTAGTCATCAAGAGAGAATTTTCATGCTTCTTTTGTTTAAACATCTGCATAACTTTCTAGATACATATGCATACATCTCTCATATCATTCCAGAAAGAGAAGCAACTGCCAATAGAGTGAGAACTTTTCTTAAGTAGCTTCTTTTCCAGGTACTGAAAATTCTCACCCTCCTACCCCAATCATTACCCTTTAACTATCACCTATGACTCAAAGCTCTTGTGTTCTACCAAATTATGTCAGAACATAGGATGGGGAAGCAGGAGGACATAGAATTGAGAGTCAAGATGCCTTGCTCTGTCTCTAGCTATTTGTTCATCATTGGGCATGTCACTTTCTCTATTCGGTCTCTGTAATTCCAAATTTAAAATGAAAAGATTGAGTTATAGTCACTAATGTTCCATCCAACATTAGGTTTCTATAATGTCCATGCACCTCTGTTCAATAGTAACATGATCACTCTAGCCCAGGCAACAGAGTGAGACTCTGTCTCAAAAAAAAAAAAAAAAAAAAAAAAAAAAAGGAGTAACAAGATCAGCATGGGAGCCACAAAGGCAGAAATTAGCTTCACCTTAGGTGGAATGATCTTCTGAAATTCCATCTTCTTTTTTTCCTTTCTGTATAAAAGTTAATTATTTATTTACTTGGTTGTATTTAATAGATAAATAAGAACCAATGAATCTACTACCCAACCTTAATCCCAGAACCCTGACAACAACCTCATACTGTTTTTCCCTTTTCCATCAAGGCACAAGTCACACCTTTGGATTCAGGGTCACTAAAGGTTTCACAGAGCCTAAGGGGTTTCCTCAGTCTTGCTAAAATGCACCTGCCATTCCTAGAATTCTCTTGAAACAAGCATCTGCCTAGACCTCTGAAATCTTGGGTTAGATCCAGCTGCTAATAATTTGCTTTGTGATTCTGAGCATATCACTTAATCTGCTCAGACTCAGTTTTCTCTACTGTACATGAAGGGGATTGGAATAGGTTTCATGGAGCCCAAACATTCTATGATTCTACATTTAAACAACCAATAAAAATGAATGACTATAATTTGCAGTTTAGAGATATTGTATCTATGTCTTCATGTTGCTTCTAGATCCACCTTGCAATGATGGCTGATTTGCTAAACTGAAAACATTTTGAGTCAGTGACTGATTTTTGCAGCACCTAGAACAATGTATGACATTTATTGGACCCTCAGTATGTGTTAATTGAATGTATGAATGCAAGGACACTACAGCTTATTAATGGGAATCCAAAACCATTATAATGACTCCAACTATATCCAGCAAAATCTAAGACTAGATACATCTGAATTGGAAATTATAAATATTAACTAGTATTCTGAGATATACTGTAACTTATGCATGTATTGCTTTAGGATAATCTACAGCAAGACACAATTTCAACTAAATGGATTTGATTCAAATATAAATTAATTTCTCCCTTCAAACCCAGACAGCATAGTAGAAATTTTACATACATTAGGTAATTAGGTGAATTTCTAGTTAGTTTCTCATTACTAGTTAATTATTAAAGGCAGGTCACAGCTCTGATTTAAGGATTCTATTTATTTCTGGAACACTGACTACTTTGAAATGCTATTGCAAGGAAGAGAAAGCAATAGCCATAATTCAATAGCAATTAGTTCAGATCCTGGTTCCTCATCTAGAGCAATTTAACCCATTTCTGTTATCAGTTTCCACATATAAAATGGTGAGATTAAATTGTCTTCTGTATGCCTACTTCACAGGTATTCATGGTTATTGTTGATTTTTAACATGGAGAAATATTAGAGTGTACGCATAATCCAGAAATAGGAAGAACGGAAGATAAGGAAGGAAGTGGAGCAGCAAGGAAAGGAAGATAATCCTGGTTCTATTGGCATTCTCTTTGTTTTTTCTAAGGGATCTCCTAAGCTAGTGTGACAAACATAAAAAATGGGGGTTGGGGAAGAACTGTGAAGAAGTGCCAGGCAAAGGGAGAAGAGGATTGGCACACCATCTGCGGATCCTTAATTATCAGGACAATTATTGGTGACAGTAATATTCTGACTGCTACCCACCATTTGCACACACATTCACTTACATTGCTCTGTTTAGAAGCTTTCATAGTTCACTCAAAAAGCATCCAGGGATACATTTGGTATGATTGAAATACCATATCTGAAAGAATTATGCATACCTTTAAGAAATGCACAATGTATTTCCTGAGGAAGTAGGCGGGGAAAGATGATAAAATTGTTGAAAGGGATTTGTAGCAAACAGATAGCATTTGAACTGAACTCAAAGTGTGCTGGGAGAGAAGGAAGAAGGAAGAGGAAGGAAATTATATTAAAAAATAAATAAATGGTGACCATGGAGGTCATTGTTATATATTGCAAAATTCTACCTTAGCCGGAGGTGGCTGTTATGTATGAAACAAAATTAACCCTGCATTAAAGAGGGCTGACATGAAGAAATATAAACTCATAGCACAGGCAGCTTGACACTTACCAAGGTGGAGGAGAAGGACAACACCACTCCATCATACAGCACATGCACTGAAAGGGAAGCCAAGAGAATTCTAATCCCCCAGGAAAAGGTGAAATGGGAGGAATAATGAGACCAGACTACATTTAATTTCTGCCTAGATTAATAATAATTACATATTCATGTCACTCAAAGATTAACCAGGAGGAAAAACATTCTTTAATTTTATATGTAACTTGTTTACATTAAACATAGATCCATGCTTAATATAACATAGATTTGGATGTCAATATTGTGGCACTTTTGAAAATAAAAATATAATATCTTCCTTAGGATATACTAAACCCACAACCATATGATTTGCACCTTTTCCTTTAAGAACACTTGATTTTAGAAATGTAAAGTTAAGCAACACTTCTCGGTATTAAGTACAAAAACTTCAAGCTATTTGTTCTCAGAAAATTTTCAGATTCCAGGACTTCAATAAGGAGAGGGCAACCCCCATTCCCTGATGATAACCTATTCACAAAGAATGTATATTTGCTACCAAGAGCAGGAGGTCCCCCCAGAAAGTCCTAATGATTGAAGCATGATAAAAGATGTTTTCAAAAGGTAAATATTGAAGCTAACCTTGCTCTGGTCCACCCCCAATTCCCCACCACACATGCTAAATTTAACAAAGCCCTCAACATCACTAGACAAGGAATTTCAATTTGAGAAATCCCATCCTGTTTATAAGCTGCTGCTTATGCATAACAAAATCTGAGACCTCTTGGTGGGCTACAAGATCTGTTGGTGATTCATTAACTATTTTAAAAACAAAAATAAATAAATAAAAATTAAAACCCTGAGTCATTTGTGTTGGGAAGAGCTAAGTTCTCCAGCAAAATGCAGAAGGAGCTCCTTTATCAATTATTTTTAAATAAATGAAAGTTACTAGAGAAAAAATGAAGATGAATCTACAACTTCCAAAGAAGGCAAAGAACTTATTTATCTTCTAAAGGATTAAATGTGTCCAGCAGTGTCTCTGGTTAGTAAAGAGGTATAATAAGATGCAATTATATTTAGAAATTCAGGAAGGTCAAAACTAATCCTTTTATTCTAACACATCTATAGAGCACAGCAAACAGGGAGAACTGTTTACTAGACTAAAGCTCCAGGGCAAATGGCAATGCAACAGGCTCAAGCTAACAGCAGATTTCCAATGGACAGCCCGTAACAGAATTCCTAGTGGTACAATCAAAGAGGTGAAACCATCAGCCAAGCATGACTTCACATAACAAATCCATCAAGACCCATGATATGCCTGGCAAGACGAATAGCAAGGGCACAAAGACTTAAATGGTATTTGAGAAAATTTACTATCCCCCAGCCTCCGGCAGGCTGGAGAAACAATGCCATTCTAATTCCCATCTATTCCAACAACACAATCAAAATACTCTTTTCCTTAGCCAGTTGAATTTACTGCCTAATATTTATTTATTTTTAACTGCATCTATGTATAGCTAGATGAATAAAAATGTTTGTATATGTTTTATACAACTCTGTTACCATATCAAGCCAAATAAGCTTGACAGACTTTTCTCAAATGTGTACAGTATGTTTTGAGCAACCTGATTTTAAATATAGGCTATGTGGCTTATCTGAAATTTGCTTTGGGGTCCTCTGGGGGGCAAGCAGGCAGTCATTTACTAGAGAAGCAGAACCAGAGTTGAAATAAGAGGCCCATAAGACTGCCAAAGGGAGTAATGAGCCATAAGTATGAAGATGCATTAACATGCCAAGGACAGAGAAAACAATTGGTAGTGTTAAATATGAGTCCCAAACTGATCATCATGAAGGCAGACGTGGTTTGCAATCTAGCTGCTTCTCATCTGGGTAACTCTAGGTAAAACTGTTCAGGTTAAGTAGCACCAGTGACTTATTTAGTTAATAGTGATTAACACAGATTTTTTTTTCTTCAGTAGCTCTGGGGAGGCATTTTTGGAGCAACTCATTAATGTGCAATGAGTCTAACTCCCCACTCCAACTCAGAGTAGGGAAATGCCACACTGGTCAAAGGGGCTTCAACAGAACACTCCGAGAACTTGTCTCACAAAGCCTGGGAGCCAAGTGTCTGATTTCCTCCTGCAAATGCTATGGTCCAGAGACAAGCTGATTGGCCACTAATGACAGTCAAAGGGATGGTGGCTGAGTCGGATTCAGCGTGAACTCCCAGAGTTTGTTGGCACAAAAGAGGCATAAGCGTTTCCCTGGACCAGATGTGGGGCTGGCAGGAAAGAGAGAGCCTGAACACTATTACACTCTATCCAAGTAAAGAGCGGAATTAAGGAGAGAAAAATTGTAGGTAATACCTTAGTTCTAGTGGCTATGGAAAGACTAAGTTACCAGAAAGAACAGACAAATATTTTCTATTATCAAAAGAAACACAGGTTAGAAATCCCCCAAAATTTGGAGATGGAAGTTTTCCTCCAAAGGACACTCAAGTGCCCCATGAGAGGAAGAGTCAGCCTTAAACACCTGCCAAATCCAGAGAGCAATGCCAGCTTGTGATAGACTTACTAGAGTAGTCAGGGACTGCCAAGATTCTTACTCAGAGGCAAGAGAAGAACTAGCACCAATAAATATTTCTAAAACACCAGGGGAAATAAAATTAATTATACTCCAAGAGGCATGCTTGTTCAATATATCCAGTATACTATATACACACATAAGCAACAATGGAATGGCACACTCACACAGATAGGCAAAATAGGATTAAATATAGAGATTTCCAAAAAGAAGACAATTTAAGAAACACTTGATGTCTGAGAATTGTACTGCTTGGGAATTTTTGAGAGTTCCTGACCATCTAATAAATTATGTTTCTAGCCCTTGTCCTTGTATTTGTGACTCTCCTACCTAACTCTTCGTGTCCACATCTCTTCCTGACAAATTTCATTTCTTGGTATAGCCAAGAAAACTACTTGTTATCACTCTTAGTACTTGTGTTCAATTTCCCATTCTGCCACATCCAAAGAAATATTCCTTATGGTTCAAAGAGTTCTACTGACCAGGGACAGGACAGCCATTCATCTGTTTTGTCTTCGGGTTATATGTCTTCATAGATGCTGATTTTCTAGCCCTATTGGGGTTCAGTGGTTCTCAAAACTGACTACGTATTATAATTGCCCAAGGAGCTTTATAAACATTATCACTGACTGGGGCCCCACCCCATAATAGTTGAACCAGAATCTTGGGGGTTCGTGCTGGGCAACTGTTTTGTTTGGGTATTGGTTTTGGTTTTAAGCCCTCTAAGTAATTCGACTACACAGCCAAGACTGAGTCTATACTGGCTACAGTACAACACAGAAAATCAATGTCTTAATGGAGAAGAATTTATAAGCTTTCTCAGTTCTCTCCTCTGAGAAATTTTGATAAAATCTCTGCTGGTTGTGCAAGTTTTCAGTATCCTATGGTGGGAGAGAGTGGAATTAGATACGGCTGATAATCAAATGTTGGGTCTGGGAAAATAGAAAATAGATTGAAAGAGGGGGAAATGGCTATGCCACAGCAGTGGTTCTCAACACTGCATATACAGTGGTAGCACTGGGCACCTAAAACAACTGTGCCAGGGCCTCAATGCCCAGACTATGAGTTCATTGGTCTGAGTAGGGCTCAGGCACCATGTAGCTTTAAAAGCTCCCTGGTTGATGCTAAAGTATAGCCAGATTGAGAAACATTGCCCTAGAGGGCAAATAAGGTTAGTGTTGCCTGACACTGCGTTATCAAATGAAGGGGATTCTTCTGTAAAAGATAGTTCCTTAAAGAAGAGAGAATGAAGAGGTTGTGTCTCTGAAAATGTTGTTAGTTTAGGGGATTTAGAGTTTAAGCCTGGCCCTTCAGATATAACTATCTCAATGGATTTGCTCACAGGATGTCTAGGCTGTCCACAGAAGCATTATGGTCATAATTAGGAGAACATATGGAAAAGAAATAAACAAGGAGACTTTGCATTGTGTATTAGTCGGGGTTCTGCAGAGAAACAGTACACACCACACACACACACACACACACGCACATGCACACGCACACGCGCACACACAATCTGTCCAGAAAGTATCCAGCCATTGTTAATATCATGAGAATAGTTTGTGCGACATTGATGTGAGCAGGGAGCCAAACAGAGTGGACTGGGATGCGCATGTGAGAACAGTGACAACGCACTGTACCAGTCGGTGGGGCACTAGACACAGTTGAGTGACCATGTGTACTGTGTGGCCATCGCATTCAAAATGACTGAGCGAGTAGAGCAACGAATCTGCATCGAATTTTGCATTAAGCTTGAACATTCCTCCGCAGAAACTATTCAGATGAGTCAGAAGGCTTTCGGGGACAATGCGATGAGTGCAGCACAAATAAAAGTGTGGCTTCAAGGAGGGTCGAGAATCTGTTGAAAGTGACCCTCATTCTGGAAAGCCTGCAGCAAGCAGAACACCTGAGAATGTTGAACGTGTACAGGTTAGGTTAATGGATGCTGAGAGAACTGTGTGAGGTCCCAAGGTGCCTACTTTGAAGGGGACTGAGGCGTCATTGTCCTATGTACAATGTTTTTTGTATCGTATATCTTCTTCAACAAATGTCTCTATTTTTCATATTACATAGCTAGATACTTTCTGGGCCATAATACACACACACACACATAGAGAAACAGAGAAGATTTATTATGGAAATTGGCTCATGCAATTTCCTATGCTCATACAGGAGTCCTATGATCTGTAAGCTGAAGAACCAGAAAAGCTGGTAGCATATTCTGTCTGAATCTGAAGGCCTGAGAGCCAGCAGAGCTGGTGTAACTGCCAATGTAACTCCCACTCTGAGGGCAAAGGCCTGAGAACCTGGAGCTCCAATGTCCAAGGGCAGGAGAAGATGAATGCTTCAGCTCCAGGAGATATAGAGAAAATTCATGTTTCCTCTGCCTTTCTGTTCCATCCAGGCCCTCAATGGATCAAATGAAGCTCACCCACATAGGTGAGGGCAATCTTTTAAATCAGTAGACTGATTTAAATGCTAATTAATCTCTTCCAGAAACACTGTCACAAACACACCAGAAATAATGTTCTACCAGATATCTGGATATCCCTTAACCCAGTCAAGTTAACATACAAAATTAATCATCACAGGCCTCAAGAGGTTTTTTAACTCTTTCTGGTAGACGGAAGTGCCTTAATAAAAGCTAGAGCATTATAGGATACACTTTATGTGATTTATTCTCTCTGCTGTGGTAAAGTAGATCCTTCTTAAGAGATATTCGCTCCTTCTCTCCAGCACCTCCACAGCCCAAGTGTACTTCTCCATCTCCTGACTTCAGTCTTAGCCATCTGGCTTACTTTGTCCAGTGGAATGTTAGCAGACAAGACATGAAAGGGCTAGAGTGGCTAGGATTGCTCTGTCACTGATTGACATGAGCAGATCATGCCTTGATTTCTTGTTACTCTGAGGAAGATGAACAACACAGTGAGCAGAGTGGCCTCAGCCCACTCCAGCGAGAAGAACATCCTCCCAACTCCTGCTACCTGAAGCAGAGCTGCCTAGGGAGACCCATCCTAGAGCAGGTGAGTCTGGCCAACCTGCAGATGGATGAGCTAAATAAATGCTTATTTTTGATGCTGCTGTAATTTTTTGGTTGGTTGTCATTTAGCCATCTTATGGCCAAGGTTAATGAATACACTCATTTATCATGCTTTTTTAACCTGGAATGTGCTTTCATCTTTGACATCTTTTTCCAAATTATATCAAAATTTACTCTTTTAAGAAGCCTTGTAACATGTGGGAGGTGATTGTGTTATCTCATTTCCTCACTGTCCCTTCAAACAAATATGGTATTAAGTGTTATCTTCTGGAGGATGCTCTATAAAACACCTATGTCAACAAAAAGGATTGACATCTACTTGAGGAAGGCTACTGTGTTCTTTCAAGGCCTTATCTACGAATTGCTGATGTTTGTCACAGGGCTATAAATTTAGAACCAACCTATGTGACTAATATTAGAGAATGTGGTTAACTAACTTCTGGAATTTTCATAAGAGAAACTGTTATCCCTCATTAAAAAATATGTTATGAAACTTTAAGTATGAAGTGGTAGCTATATAAACAAAGCAAGATACAAAATTGCCTGTAAGCCATGGTTTCAATTACATTGAATAAAATATGTACAAAAAGTGCAAACAAAATGTTCATGGAAGTTATCTCTGAATGGAAGCATTAATGGTGATTATTTCCTTTTTATAAACCTTCCCTGTACTTCCTAAATTTTCTTCACTGAACATATTTTACTCTTACATTCAGGAAAAGCAAGGTAAAAAGGAAACACTTCCTGAGGGACTTGGAATTCTGGACAACACGCAACTCAAAGTGGAAAAAGCTGGCAAAGGCTCTTCATTTTTATAAACTATTCAATGGGCAAAATGAGATGACAACTGACCTCTTCCCATTTGGTGAAAGTCCTCTAATCCTAAGGAACGCTTGTTTCTTTTTTTTTTTTTTAATTTTTTCTTTTATTTCATCATATTAGGGAGGCACAAATATTGTTAGGGTTACAAATATTGCCCCTGCCCCCCCTCCCCCCAATGTGTCCAATCCCCCGGTGGTGTGCACCACACACGTTATGGAAGCATACACCCCTTTCCTCCTCCCCCCTACCGCCTGCCCACCACCCGATAAAAAGTTTTGTTTTGATTTTTTTGACATTTTGGTTACATTGTATATCTTTGCCTCTCCCCAAGAAGGGTTAGAGTTATGCCCTTCCCCTCCAAAATGCTCGCCACACGTTTGTTTCTTCTTGGGAATCCCTATCCGCCTGCCCTCCATTAGAAATAGCTCTCAGTTTTGCTCTCTCAAATCCTACATACAGTTCTTCTGTAGGTTGAGTTACCTCCTCATAATCAGGAGCAGTTCAGTACTAAACAAGCAAGGACTTTTTGTTTTTATTTCACTTTTCTGATACCATTAAACTACAGGAAGCCAAAGTTTTACAGGTAGCCAATGAACAATTTAGTTAAAATTTCAATAAATGTCTAATTTGTTGTTAAACTTTAGATTTTAAAGGCTGTTATTTATTTACACTGCAAATTTATGTTTATGAATGATCAACCTTGAGCCAATGGATTATATTGAATAAAATTCCTTTTACTTTTAACAGTTAAAAAAGTTATTATGTAATTTTTTTCAACTGTTTTTATAGTGTCATAAAAAGATGATCACATAGGTAGAGGTGAAAAGTGCCTTCTTATCAGACAGGAAATCCATCTTAGGCAGGTCTAGAACTTGGAACTGTGTTCAACACAGCAGAGTCCACCAGATGGGGTTACCACAACCTTTGAGCAATGATTAGGATTTTCAAAGACAGGTTTTCAAATTGCATATTCCCTTTCAGAACTTTTTTAAATTGTATTTGGTTTTTTAAATTTATTTCAGAATGTTATGGGGGTACAAATTTTTTGTACATAAATTGCTTTTTGTACCCTTTGAGTCAAAGTATGCCCATCCTCAGATAGCATGCATTGTACCCG